CTCCAGCCGCCCTCCAGCCTGCGAGGCTCCCGGGCGGGACAGGTGGGTGTCAGTCGCGCGCGGCGCCGCTCCCCGGGCGCTCAGAATTCGTTCCACAGTGGAGATTTAAGCATCCTTAAGTTTCTTCCCGGCTCTTGCAAAACTGCCGCTGCTGGGGCCGCCGCTGGCTGCGGACACGCGCGTGGACAGACAGACGGAGAGACGGACAGGCAGACGGAGGAGGAAGGGAGGACAGCGAGAGAGGGAAATTGAAGGACGGAGGTGGAGACGCGAAGCCGGTCTTCCTAGGGAGCAAAAGGGGCGAACTCCCTCTTCTCGCCATTCCTGTCACTCAGCCTTCCATCTCTCCCTCTCCCGAGACAGCGGAGTGGCAGGTCTCTGCAGACCGCCGGGCTTCCGAGGAGAGAAGGAAAAGGCGAGCGCAGCCTCGGAGCTGGCGGGGACCCTAGACCGCCGGGAACTCTTCCGAGGGCAGCGGCGGCCGCGTCCCGGCTTCCGGGGAGAGCCGCGCGCGCAGCGGCGAGGGGTCCCCGAAGTTCATTACCCCGTGACTCTGTGCCTGTCGCCGCGGGCTGGGTCCCCTGTAATATCTCCCGAGGCGCTCTGACAGGCAGCCGCGGGGAGGGGAATAGGGCGTCCCTGGCCCACTTAGCTTTTCGCCCAACTCCTGGCGGGGTCTGACGTCAGCCATGTGCGGGGAGGGGGTGGGAAGAGGGAGGGGGTTAAATGCTAATGATATTAATGAACCTCCCAGCGGCTCCCAAGGAAAATGCAGGCACTCTCGGAGCTGACGAGTTAGAAAGTGTGAACATGCGAGTGTGGCCCGGGGCGTGCGTGATGGTGAGGACCGCGCGGCTCGAAATAAAAACGCATTCTTATATTTCATGGCAAGAGGGGAGGGGAGGGGTGACGGGGCCTTCTAAAAAATGCCCCCGCCCCCCAAGAGTGCCAAGCAGATAGATGCATGGAAGAAATCCGGGTGGCTGCGTGTTTGTGTGTGCTTGTGCGCGCCGGACGCGGCCATGTGAGTTGGGACATTCTCGGTCCCGTGCCCCTGTCTGTTGGGTGCAACTTGGATCTGGCCCGAGGTGAGTGGTTTATTCATTTTGCAATTATCGACGGAAGGTCAGAGCTGAGGATGCCGCGTGCGGACGTGGGGCCTGGGCGGGGGTCTTCCGGGGGTTCCGTCTTCCTGCAGCCTTCGCTTGGGGGTTTGGGCACCGGCCGAGGGGAGGGAGGCCGTCGCCGACTTTGCGGCCCATCCGAAC